TGTACAAAATCGAAGGACAGCGAAGAGGACTAAGGATTTAGCAAAGCTTGCACCCAGGCTGAAGAGCGTCTGAAGTAAAATAAACATGTAGCATGGGAAGTTGTTCATAGTCACAATTACCTAATATTGTGAAGAGAAGTAAAGGTATGACTATTGAAAAGTAATAATCAGAATCTAAAACTGTTAGCTAAAACAACGCAAAGTATTTTCCTACATTTATAAAAGATTGATTAATGGCAGTCTCAAGAAATTAGTCATAAAGAATGAAAATATCTTGCTCAGTTATTCAATCTTTGTGAAAAGGCCAGAAACAAAAACAATGGACATTGTGTTTTCCTTTTGTCACAAGATTGATTGTTATTGTTGATTCTATACTCATAAACCTCACTCTCTCTAGTCCTTTACTTTACCTCCTATTTTCATAGGGTCATAATCAAGACTCATCTCCATGCTCTCACTATAAATAGTCATGATAGAGGGTAACCTAATCCATGCATTCAGCTTGTCAACAAGGCACCAAGCAAATGAGACAGCATAGCACAACAAAGCTAGTAATAGAAAAGGGAAAGTAACATAACTCTCCTCCTTATTTCTGTGTTTTCATTGCACATCATTTGTCGTGTAATCCATTGACTCACTAACTGCAGGGAACAAATCATAGAGAAGGCAAATATGAACTAAAATCTATTGGTAAAATTACAATCAAAAGCATACCATTAGCACAGAACACAGCAGCATACAAGACCGTCTTCCAAAATTATCAGAGACTGCTCCAAAGATGAAAGATCCAAGCAACATTCCTGCACCAAATACTGCCTGTACATTGGCACCAATGAAAGCTCTATTACAAATAAGGTTGTACTAAATATGGAAATGAGAAAGAAAATATAAGGTTAACATCAAAATGGTGATTTTAGTTCATGCATATATGTACTGTGTTAATCAACCTTATAACAAAATTTTTAAATGCGATTAGTTGAACAGCACTCAGATTTGAGCACTAATAGGACAGTGTGCATGTCTTGATTGCTATTGGACACTTTAAAAGCCATGACTTTGTCACTGAACATGGATCTATCATTTGTACAGGCTTTTAAATGAACTACAGGATTTGTTTTCCCACAAAAAGAAAGAAACTGTCATGTTTTATCAATAAATAACTTTCACCAATGGGCACTTTTACCTCAAATTTTGACATTGTGTAAGCATTCTTCCTTACTTAAAGGGGAAAAAAGGTATTTATATTTCATAAACCAGTGAAATAGATTATAGACATTTAGTGTCCAATTTGGGACAAAATCAGACACTAGTGTCTAAAAAAAATGGACACTTTGGCCCAAAATCAGAGACTAGCGTTGAAAAACCGAATGCACCAGAGTTCAAAATCTGACACCAGTGTATGATTTTTGGACACATGTGTCCAAGATCAGACTCTAGAGTAAGAAAATAAAAATCCCTAACTTCTGCTGACAGTGCTTATTAAAGAGAGGTTGGATCAGCCAAGCAAATAACTGAAACATTCAAGTAATTCAAATGAAACCAAGGTAAAAATTTCAGCTGGTAAGTGGATCTGATCGTTAATTCTCCTCTCTAGCTGCTCCACACTCTCTTGTAA